TGCATAGTCACCGCAGTTGAAGTCGGTTGTTGGGGTTGGTGCCACCATTTCTCCTGGGAGACGCAATGTGCGACGCAATCTGTGCTTTGAAAGCTGATCTGCAACCTAAGAGGACTAGGGGTAAAGACTACTTCCAGTCTGGGTTCGCCTGTGCTGCCAGAGCACTTTTCAGTTATCGATGAAAACGCTCAATCATCCCGTTGGCTGCCGGGTAGTAGGCGGTCATCTGAACGCGGCGAATGATCAGGTGCTTAAGTAGTTGTGCGAAAACACTCTCGAAATGAGAACCTCGATCGGTTGTAACTACTGCTGGACAACCGGAACTAGCTATCCACCATCTACGAAGGCTTGTGCCGCTGCTTCGCTGGATGCGGAAGACAAGGGCACAGCTACCGGTCACCGGATGAAACGATCTATACAGCTGGGTATATAGATACACTCTTTCGATGGCGGCAGGGGTCCCACTAAGTCTACGTGGACGTGATGGAAAGGTTCGTCGACGACGGGGAACGAGCCTAGTGAGCTCTTTGTGTGACGAATAATTTTGTTTCTTTGGCAGGACAAGCAATGACGTGTCCATTGGTGTTTGTCCTTTTTGATGTTGTGCCACACGAAACAATCAGTGATGAGTTTCACTGAGGCGCGGATGCTTGAGTGTGACAAATTATGCAGTGTCTCAAAAACCTTTTTGCGTAAGGGCGATGGGACTACTGGCCTAGGATGACCTAGGGAGACGTCGCAATAAACTTTGTTTTCTGAAGACGGAAGTGGTAGATGTTCGATGCGGAGCGTGGATGGCTTACAAAGTCGCTCAATATCGGTGTCGCAGGTTTGCGCTATGGCGATGTCTTGTAAGTCTATGGCTTCTGGGTAAGGGTTACCCAAGTGATGGATGCGAGAAAGGGCATCTGCTACAGGGTTGTTGACCCCAGAGATATGTCGTACATCACACGTGTATTATGTGATGTAATCAAGGTGTCGTGACTCTCGTGGAGAGTGTTTGTCGGTGGTAAACTTAATGGCGTGAGTGATGGGACGGTGGTCTCTGAAGACCGTGAAGCCTCGTCCTTCCAGGAGATGGCGGAAGTGACGGATATCGAGGTAGATTGCCAGGAGTTCTCGACCGAAGGCGCTGTACCTTGACTCGGCCGGTTGAAGCTTCTTGGAGAAAAAAGCTATGGGGTGCCATTCCTGTCTCACTTGTTGTTGGAGGAAGGAACCAACTGCGTGATCGGCCGCATCGGTGACGAGTGCTAGTTTGACGGAGGGATCTAGGTGGGTTAATGTTGCAACCTAGCTGATTGCTCGTTTCAACGCATCGAACGCGTCTCGAGCGGCTTGTGTGAACACTAACATTTTTGTTTTACCCCAAAGTAGATCAGTGAGTGGTTGCATCAGCTGTGCACACTGAGGGATGAAACGACGATAAAAGTTGACCAAACCGTCTTGAAGTCTTGAAGTATGACACGGGTGCAAGGCTAGACCCAATGGTCCCGGATCTTAGTAATTACCAAGGTTTCTTCTGGGGGCGAATGTTAGGTAGTCAGAGTGAGTCCGCGTCCTGTTTGTACAAGAAGGTCACTTAAAATGAGGAAAGAAGAGGGGAGGGGGTGCAGTACCTGCATGCAGTGCGACAGATCGGGAATTACAGCAAAAAAACGCTGAACATGATATGAATACCGCTTTGAGGCAGGGAGGTGTTTACCGTTCAGGGACTATGCCAAGATACCGGTCTAGATTCCTTTTGAAAGCGGATCTTGTGGGGGGCATTAACTACTTCTTGGAGAGGCTATTCCAAAGAGGAATGACTCTGTGGGTGAAAGAGCATTGACGGACTAGTGTATGGGCACGCGGTTTGAAGAGTTTCATGCTATGCCCACGAAGATTGTCCGTACTAGTGCGCACAAAGAAGTCATCAATCCTACGGGAATTGAAGAGATCGTAATGTAGGAAGATATCACCTGTTATCCGGTGGGTTTCAAGGGGGTACGGGTTCAATTTGGAAAGGCGTGTAGGGTAAGGGGTGGAGGACAAGCCATGCACAAGTTTTGTCGCCCTCTGTTGTACACGCTCCAGGGCCGTACAATCGCATACCAGGCGGGAGTGAACAATTTGACTCCCGTATTCCAATAAGGGTCGGACGTACATGCTATATAGAATCTGGAAGTCATCGCTATCAATTCTGGGAAAAGAACGTCTTAGGAAGTTAAGAACATGGAGGGCTGATCTACTGGCTGATTGTTGATGGTAAGAGAATGAGAGTGATCTGGTCAGCCATGGTCGTGGAAGCTCTAGCCCTGAAGCTATGTACGGGTACCCTTCCAAACGACATACTAACGCATTTGTCGTCGTTTACTGGTAGGTGGCCGGCAGTAAACCAGTCTTTGACTGCATCCATTGCTGACTGAACAGCCACTGGGTCGGTGTCCCGAATTGTCACATCATCAGCGTACATTGCTACGTTGACTCCGATCCTGTGTGGCAGGCCATTAATATATAGAAGGATGAGGAGGGGACCAAGGACGGAACCTTGGGGTACTCCGCTAGAAATGAAGGAGTCAAATGAGAACGATGAACTTACGCGAACCGAGAAGGTGAGGTTCGTGAGAAAATCCCGAAGAAGAGCTAGGAGTCTGCCACTTAGGCCATATGACTCGAGCTTATAGAGTAAGGGAGCGTGAGGGACACGATCGAAAGCTTTTGCGAAATCAATGAAGGTTGCTTGAGGAATCAAGCCGTCATCATGGGCTTGTGTTAGACTGTCCAGGACAGATAGCATATTGGGGATACAGGATCTTCCAGGGAGAAAGCCGTGTTGGGTTTGAGAAAGAAGCTGATTGTCTGTTAAGTGTTTTAGAATTGCCCTTTTTAAAACCCGTTCGAAGACCTTGCTTGGCACGCTAGTCAGGCTGATGGGTCTATAACTAATTGGAGTGTGACGATCACTTTTTTAAATTGGGGGGATATGATGCCTCTTTTCCAAGACGAATGGAATATTCCAGCATCTAGACACTTCTGCAAAAGGGTGGAATAGTACGGGGCAAGAACCGAGGCAGCTTCTTTCAACACTCGAGGGTGTGTCGTCTGGTCCCATCGAACTAAAGGGATTCAAGGATTTGAGGAGTGATTCGGTCTCCCCTGGAAGAACCAGGAAATGTTCTAATGGAGGCGGTGCAATCAGAAAGGGGAGATCGGGGTGGGAAGAGACAGGAGGGAAATTAAAGCTGGATTCGTAATGAGACTGGAAGATCTCTGCAACCGGAGCAGAGGAGGTTACAGGAGAGCCATCAGGTAGATTGAGGGCTAGTGTCGAGGAGGTTGGTTGCCTTTTGCGGCGGAGTGACTTAAATAAGGAATTGGGGTTACTTCTAGCCCGAAGAAGAATTGCTTTTTGTTGTCTTTTGTCAAATTCCCTAACTCGCTGCTTACATAAGTTGCGGATTCGCTTAAACTCGACAGCATCGCGTCGAGCCCAGTACATTTTAGTCTAGTAAATGAACGGGCCCGCTCGTCCGTGGTGACGAATGGAGCGTGGTAGGGGAGGCCAATGGTCAGGTACAGATTGCACTCTAGGAATAAATAGGAGGTCCGCCTCGTGAATTATACTCTCGAGCAACTCATTTAGATTGTTCGGGTGGGTATCAATATTGCAGGAGCCCAGCCTGTTGACCAGGAATTCTCGTAAGAGAACGAAATCGGCCCTTTTGTTGGAACGTAGCATTCTGAAAGAGGGCCTGCAAGTTGGCCAGCGGATAATATAGTAAAAGGAAAGCAGGAGGTGATCACTTTTACCAACAGGACTTAGGTACGAGATCATGTCGATCTAGCGGCTTTCGTTGGTAATCGCAAGATCAAGCAGAGAGAAACGTTGGCCGACACGGTATCTCGTGGGAGATACTACGTGTTGGAACCACGAATGTTCGTTGAAGAGATTTATAAGGGGTGCACCAAAAATTCTATCTCTGGAGTAGTATCTGGGCCAGTCGATATCCGGGGCGTGGAAATCGCCCAGGATAAGGTGTGAGAAAGTGCAGGTGGGACGGAGGTCACGAAGCTGAGTTAGCAATGATTGACATTCCTCCTGTGTGCTTAATGGTTAGCAATAAACATCCCCCAGGAGGAGTGAAGCCCTTCTCGGGAAGACGATATTGATCCATAGGGTCTCGATTGATTGAATCGTAGGAAGGGAAACACGCAAAGCAGGAGGAAGGGAATCATTAAGGAAGAGAACCACTCCGCCTGCATGGCCACGGTTTAAGTCTTGTCTGAACAAGGTGTAACCATTGTAATTCCACCATCTAGTATCTCTGGAATTAGCCAAGTTTCAGTTGGTGCTATTACGTAAGGCTTCTTATCGCGCGCCAATTGTCGCAGTTCAAGGATTTTATTAGTTATACGGAGACAGTTGGCTGATACGCACTTCAGCACCTGCTCACTATATATTTCAGCAGGTCTAGTAGAATGGTAGGGGACTTGGGAGAGTTTCTGAGTGATATTTCGACCTTTTTGCCCCGAGAGGGTCGTGGCACCTGTGGGAGCTTCTTGGAGGGTGCTGCCATGTGTCAGGCTTCCACGTTGCCTGCTGGCTGCATTGGCTTGCCAGTTTTTGGGGATTTCACTCTGTCTGGTGAGCGAGAGCGGTCTATTGGAGGCAGAAAAGGGGTTGGGGCGTCTTACTTTTCTTACGGTCCTGTCTTGGCTTTGGCTCTGGGAGCGACATGGCGCCACTTGACAACAATTCGGGTTTTGGCGTGGGGAGATTTTTTCTTAGGATTTTAGTTTTAGAGAAGTAAGATTTAGGTTACGCCGGGGGAATTGCCTTAGGTGGTGGATTACCAAGTATCCCCTTCATCCCAGCGGTTGGTCGAAAGTTGGGCACCTTGATTGGGCCTTTGATTTCCCTTGCTGGAGCGTGGGCTGGTTTCATAGGTGATAGTACCTTGCGGTTGAGGATCCCGACTATAGTTGGTTTATACACGGTTATGTCGGTGAAGCTTACGTCGGGAGTGCTGGCGACTAGTGGGGCGAAGCTTAGATTCTTGTCCTTTTGAAGAGAGGAGATTTGTGGTATCTTCTCAATATCCAGTTGCGTGAGATTGACTGTCGCACGCATTTGCAGTTTCTGATCTATCTTTAGGCCACAAGGTTTTTTGTCAGATTTTCTAACATGGAGAGGAATGTCGCGGGCTATCCCTGTGACATATTTACATCTCCTGATTATTTTCACCTGAGCAAGATAGTGCCAAACTTTTGCACTTTGGCTGAACTCGACCATGATACCTTTGATCGTTTTCCTGGTGTTTGTTCTAAGATATACGATTATCATGACCCTATCAGCTGCAGGTGTTTCTCCTGGGAACTTCCCCCAAATTATCATGCGTTTGCTGCATGCCACTGTCTCAGAAAGCTTATTGGCGGTGTCCAAGATGATTTGGTCTGATACCCTGAGGGTCATTTTACTGGCTTCGAATTGGGGAGAGAGACCCACAAGTATTGCCTTCATCTCTACCAACTCAGCCTCCATTTTGTCAACTTTTGTCTTTAGGCTTAAGATTACCTCGCTCTGGGATAAGATTATCCTGTTTTGTATCACTGGGGAGGTGTTGATTAACGTGATGTCAAGACGCATGGGTAAAGTTTCCTCATCCAGAGATACATCCTGGATTTAGATGCTATCGTTATTTTCTGCTATCATTTTGAGAGAAAGTTGTGGTATGGCGGACATATATATGAAGAATACGAAAAAGCAATTAGTGGGAGATACAGTAGAGTGCGTAACAGTTTTAAGCACGAAGCTTTTACCAATCGAGACACTAAGGGCCGCGAGCATAGACGTGCTACCAAATGTGTTAGAAAAATGAATAGTAGCAAATAAAGCGAAGGGATATTTCAAAAAGTACATTTTGGGGTCCAAGAAACGAATTATCAGAGCACTCAAAAATTTCAACTTGGCGCCAACTCACTAACTTAACCGTCGAAACGTCGGAGCTGCTTAAACGTAGTGGGCTCCGGTAGCCTATTACCGCCTGGATTTTGTCACTTAGTGGCTCGATGCCAGTGGCTGTGATGCGGTGGCCGAGGAACTCAATGTTGGAGGCACATTTTCATGCGTTGACCGTGACACCGTGCCTTACCAGACGATCAAAAAGTGCTCGGAGGTATGCCAGATGTTCCTCGCGCGATGAGCTAGCCACTAGGATATCGTCTAATTAAACAAAAACAGAGTCAAACCCTCTACAAACATTGTCAATGAAACGTTGGAAGGACTGTGCGGCGTTGCTTAAACCGAATGGCATTCGAAGGAATTCAAATAGACCAAACGGTGTGACTACGGCTGTTTTGGGGACGTCGGCTTCTGCTACCGGTATCTGGTCGTATGCGCGAACCAGATCGATGCGGCTAAAAAGAGTTCTACCGGCTAGGTTAGACGTGAGATCCGTGATGTGGGGGATCGGGTACCTATCCGGGGTCGTCACGCGGTTGAGTGCGCGATAATCTCCACATTAACGACGTTTTGGGGACCATGTGTAGAGGGGACGCCCATGGACTTTGTGAGGGGCGTATGATACCCATGTTCAGCATGTGCTGAAACTCTGCGCATGCGGTGCGTAACTTGTCTGGTGCTAGTCGACGGGCACGTGCGTGGACCGGTGGACCTCGAGTGACGATGTGGTGCGACACTTC